CCCTGGATGCTATATTACATGTGCTGGGCAGGGTGCCCATGCCAGGGCTGGGCTTCTGTGTGCCATTTGGAAGCCTCCTATCTCTGCTCTGGGGATGGGGGGAACATTGCGTTTCCAACTGACTATGGTATTTTGGGTGAATGATGTTTTGTTCCGTACCTTAAAGGGATTACAGCATGCCTTGGCCTCCACTATAGAGAAGCTTGGGCCTTGTCAAACAAGTGTAAGGATCCTTCTAATGGCAAAACCCCAGAGGCATGACTATCTGTGTGCAAATTATGCTCTTTTGGTTCCAGGAAATGGACTCATGTAGTCCAGTCCGAGTAATGGCAGTGGTGTAGAAATGGAGGCAGTGATCTCATTATAAAGTGCTTATAAGAAGGATGGATTATCCTAGAAATCTAAGACTAGAAACCCCAACGCAATTATAAGCTTCATAGAACTAGATTCTGAAAGGTCATCCTAGTTCTGCAGTCCTCATTCTGGAGCTCTACCATTAATGTGGCCCAACTACTCTTCAGGGGTCAGCTTCCCTCGGCTTCTCTTCCCCATTTTAATGATCTTAGTCCTTACCAATGCATGCCTCTGGTAGAACACAAGACAGCTTAGTATTAATTCTTTTTTTTTTTTTTTTTTTTGAGACGAAGTCTCACTCTGTGGCCCAGGCTGGAGTGCAGTGGCGTGATCTTGACTCACTGAAACCTCCATCCCCTGGATTCAAGCAATTCTCCTGGCTCACCCTCCCTAGTAGCTGGGATTACAGGCATATGCTACCGTGCCTAGCTAATTTTTGTGTTTTTAGTAGAGACGAGGTTTCTCCTTATTAACCAAGCTGCTCTCAAACTCCTGACCTCAAGTGATTCACCTGCCTTGGCTTCCCATAGTGCTTTGATTACAGGCATGAGCCACCACACCCGGCCTTATTATTAATTGTTACTCTGAGTGAGACAGAGAGAGAAAATGGAAACCCAGATTCCAAAGGGAATAGCTCATTTCTCCAAGAAGCCTGAGGCCTAACAATTGAATTGAACTGATTACTGCTCTATTGACAACCATTGTGTGAACTCAGCCTACCTGGACACTTCTTAGCTGCATGACCTTGGACTAGCTCCTGCCTCCATTTCCCCATGTCTACAATGGAACATTTGTAACCCGGCACGGTGGCGTGCCCTGTAGTCCCAGCTACTCTGAAGGCTGAAGCAGGAGTGTTGCTTGAGCTCAGGATTTCAAGTGAGTACGATTGTGCCATTGCCCGCCAGCCTGAGTGACAGAGCAAGACTCCATCTCTAAGAAAAATAAAATAATAATAAAAAATACTAAAAATTAAAATGGAATGTTTGCCTCTGGTTTTCCTTCCCTCAGGGTTGTAAGAGCAGGAGCCTGTTCTGCACTCTGCACCCCAGGATCTGGCTGGCAGTAGGAAAGTGCCTTCACCCCTCCTGCCTCAATCCTTTCGTGGATCAGACACAAGATTTGAGCTTGGTGATCTTACTCTCCCGTCCTTTCAAACTCCTAAATAGCTCTACATAATTCTAACCACCCCAATTCTCTGGGCTTACCCCTTACACAACCTCATCATCCTGGTCCTCAGAACCCCTTCATCTAAAAATCCCACAGTGTAGAGAAGAACATCATGCATATTCTCTGTTTTGGTGAAAAGTTGCATTTACATCACGCTTTTTAGTAAACATTTTATATTCCCTTTGCCCTGACTTATCTCCTTAGAGGCATTTCTTTTTAGTTGTTATTATTGATTGTCAATTGGCTGCAGTTACGCTTTGATCCTCGCCTTTGTTTAAATGGCCACCCACACTATCTGCCCTCGCCCTCCTTCTCTCTGTTAAACAGTAATGAAATGCAAACAAACTTGGAGGTACTCTGGGAGCAGAGGGGCCCTGGGGCCAGCTTCCCTCAGGCCTGTGAATTGTCATTCCTGAAGCTGTCTGTTTTGTAAGTTCTTTTGCCAAGTTTCTATGGGAGCAGAGGGATCATTTTCTCCCTTTTCAAAGAGCAGGGTGAGTTGAGGACTTGAGTTGGCAAGTCCTTTAAAGTCATTTTCAAAGGAAACCTGAACTGAAAGGCCATGCAGCTGGCAGAGGGTGCTGTGCCTTTCTGAGGCTCTCTGTGGGGCGCTGGGTGGTCAGCCCCCATAGCTTCCCAGCACGTGCTCGGAGCCTGCTGCAAAGGCACTGCCAAGGGACACAACTGCCCAACAAGTGGGCCCATGGCCCAGGGGACAGGCTCAACTCCACATGCCCTCCCCACTGCCACCCAGGAACAGGAAGGGAGAGTGCAGGCTTCTCCTCTGGGCCAGTGACCAGAACCACACTTGTCCTCAGTGTTCTCGGGTCAAACTTGATCCTTGGGGTTTTTTAAGGTAAAAGAAAACCAGATGCCAAAGCAAGCAAGGGTGAACTTGCATCTGAATCAAGGAATCATACATGGTGTAGCTCACTCTCATGGACAGGTTGGAAAGGGGACTCAGAGGGAAAATGGTTTTCCCGAGTCACACTGGAGGAGGCGGCTGAGTTCCACCACAGGGCTCTTGGGGGTGGAAGCACCTCAGCAGGGATAGAGGTTTGCTTGGGTACTAACCATCCATAAAGCTTCTGAGTCTGCAGATGTCTGGCAATCAATCACCCAGCAGACACCAAAAAACCCTCAAATGCACTCGGGTTGAGAAATATATGTCTGGGGCCACATGCCTTCATACTGCGCTGTGAGCCGAGTGGAGAGAAATTGTTCATGAAGCCAGGGAGCACGACAGGCCTTCTCACTTCAGAGAATGGGTAAACTGACGTCCAGAGGAAGATGAGATGCCCATCTGTATGTCGGCAGAACTAAAAAGGAAGTCATTAAAAGCTTACCCTGGGCTGGGCAGGGTGGCTCACACCTGTAATCCCAGCACTCTGGGAGGATGAGGTGGGCAGATCACCTGAGGTCAGGAGTTTGAGACCTGCCTGGCCAACGTGGTGAAAACCCATCTCTACTAAAGATTCAAAAAATTAGCTGGGCATGGTGGTGGGCACCTGTAATCCCTGCTACTCAGGAGGCCGAGGCAGGAGAATTGCTGGAACCCAGGAGGTGGAAGTTGCAGTGAGCTGAGATTGTGCCACTGCACTCCAGCCTGGGAGACAAAGCGAGATTCTGAAAAAGAAAGAGAGAAGGAGAAAGAAAGAAAAGGGAGAAAGGGAGAGAGAGAAGAAGAAGGAAAGGAAGAAAGAAAAGAAAAGAAAAGAAAAGAAAAAAAGAAGAAAGAAAAAGAAAGAAAGAAAGAAAGAAAGAAAGAAAGAAAGAAAGAAAGAAAGAAAGAAAGAAAGAAAGAAAGGAAGAAAGAAAGGAAGGAAGGAAGGAAGGAAGGAAGAAAGAAAAGGAAAGAAAGAAAGGAGGAGAGAGAGAAAGAAAGAAGAGAAAGAACGAAACAAGAAAGAGAGAAAGAGAGAGAGGAAGAAAGGGAAGAAGGAAGGAAGGAGAAAGAACGAAAGAAGAGAGAAAGAGAAAGAAAGGAAGGAAGGAAGGGAAAGAAAGGAGGGAAGGAGGGAGGGAGGGAAGGAAGGAGGAAGGAAGGAAGGAAGGAAGGAAGGAAGGAAGGAAGGAAGGAAGGAAGGAAGGAAGGAAGGAAAAAGAAAGCAAGCTTAGCTTAGAGCTGAGTGGGCAGTCCTTCCAAAATCTCCCACCTGAGCTCTTCAGAAACAGGGCCTGGAGACCACAGTTCCTCCTGGTGCTGGGGTCCAAATGTGCGTCCACGCCAAGGTACCAGGAACAAGTCCTAGCCTCATCTCAAACGGCACTCCTTCCTGAGAATGCAGCAGCCAGCAGCCCCTCCCCTCCAAGAGCGTTTTCCAGTAGGTTAGGAGCTCAGGGAGCCAGATCCAGGCCAGGCCCCATTCCCACACAAGAAAAGCCCTCCAGACCAAGCCAGCTTGACTTTTCAACATTTTATTCTTATATTTGTACAGCTATATTTTACAACGCGGTAATGCAGTTTAGACACAGCCAAACCCTGTCTCCGGAGTAGTTATAACACAAGCATGACGCAGAATGGGATGAGACAAACATTCCCAAAGAGAGTTTAGTTAGTAACAACTTCAAGTCCCTGTGTCTGCCTAGGCTTCAAAAAGGGATGGCGCACGCTCGCCCATCATTGAAAACTTCCATGAAAAAAGGCACCGTGAGGACACGTTGTACAGGTATATACAAACTGAAAACTAGAACAAAATTACACGTTTTTCCTTCTGCGGGTTTTTTTGTTCTTTTTTTTTTTAATACACACTTTGTAAATTGTAAACCTTCACTTGCAAAAAAATACAAATACACTGAGGCATTTTAGACAAAATATTTTCTTACTTATACAGATGCAATACTTAAAATATTCTCTTAAGTGCTCTTTCTCAATAAAGATTCTCAGATCCGTGTCTGCCTGCAGATACAAAATCGAGCCTTTAACGCAGTTTTATATTTTTAATATATCTTTTTTAGGTTTATATATATTTATTTTATATATATATATATATTTATATATTTACAACTCTGCCATATATTCCTTCACCTTTGGTTAAAAAAATTAAAGCCCTCTCTTTTATAACATACCGAAGTCTTGTCTTTTAAAAGAATGCACATTTACATACAAAAGAAACATCTGTTCCCACGAAACATATACATTCCTCATTTTGCAGACTAAAGTCAAGTCAGAACTTTTTGCATACTCCCCGCTTTGACATAGAAAATGATTTTGCTTTTTGCTGACGTGGTTCACCTTACACATAGGAGAAGAAGCAATATTATTCTCTTAATGTTTCATGGCAGTGGGGGAGGGGGAGTTGCTATGACTCCCAATCCCCCAGGCCCCAACCCCCACCACCCCCCACCCCCAGCTATGATTTGCACTAGTGGATGAAAGAGGCACTACATCATGGGATGAACATTGTAAAGTGTTACAGTATCCTTTGGGTAGATTCTGAGAAGGGGCTGGAGAGGAAAAAGCATCAACACTCCATGCTTCAGCAGGCTTTGGGGAGCTCCGGAGGCAGGTCTGTGGCCGACACGCGGTATTGCACCTTGGTGTTGGTGATGGCACCATGCTTCTGGCGCAAGTGAAGTCGCAGCTGGCTTTTGTGACGGAAATGCAGGTTACACTTCTCACACTGCAGGGACAGCAGAGGCAAACGTTAGCTGTCATCAACCCAAGAAAGGTGTCATTGCTCAAAGACCCAGAGAGGAAGATTTTCCCTGCAAGGGACTGGGGCAGCTCTTGACTCTTGGAGACCGGGTTATGAACCCATATGAATCCCGGCTTCTGCCAACAGATAAGCTAGCATCGTGCGAAGGTCCGTTCCCTGCTTTCCCAAGGGTTGTTTCTGCTTCTCCCTTGCTAGAGACGTCCTTCCCTGCCTTGACTCCACAAGTTCAAGTCTTATCCAAAACAGTTAGATGCAAACTCTTCTCATCATTAAGGCATTTCTGAATCTCTCAAGGATAAAATTAATCCCTCTTTACTTCGAACCTCTGTAAGATTTCTAGCTTTGCCACCTAGCCCTCCATGGGCTACCTCCTTCTTAAGTGGGTAACACTTTGAGGGCAGTGGCTAATTTTCTCTAAACGTTATAATCTTCCTCGTGCCTAACAGAATATACCTCTTTGTCAAATTATGCAATTAATCTGAACACATCTGGACAAATGGACTAGGCCAATCTGAATTCATGGAAATTCCGGAGTCTAGAGTAAATATTTTTAAATGCAGTTATATTATTTTCTACGGCATATATCTTAGATAAGCTAACTAAACATTAGCAAGTGGAGCTATTTCTTGATTTAATTCAATGAAGCATTTTAGTTTAGATAAAAGTTAATAAAATAAAATGAATGACTAAATGTAATGGGGTAATCTAGATGAGATCTTGAATGAGAAAGGACATTCTTAGACAAAAAACAAAGAAAATGTAAATAAAGTATACACTTTAGCTTATAATTATATATCAGTATTGGTTCATTAGTTGTGACAAATGTATTGAACTAATGTAAGATGTTAACAATAGGGTAAAATAGGTGCATGTAGGAGCCTTTGGTACAATCTTTGCAACTTTTCTATAAATCTAAAACTATTCTAAAATAAAAAGTGTAATGAAATATGTTCAGGTAGAGTAAATGTTTTAAAGCAAAAATGGAAATAGATTAAGAAAAATTAAAAACGAGCAGGGACCTATGTAAAATCTCTGGTCTTGGGAGATATAAGGTCCACTGTGTCGGTGCCATTCATTGCTGTGTGTCCCAAGCATGCCATTTCTCTCTCTAGGCCTTGGATCTCCCTTCTGAATGGCCTGGGTCAATATCCACTGAAAAGTCATTCTCAACTCTGATATCCCAGGCATCTAAAATTCTAGCAAATCATTTATTATCACAGATATTTATTGTACCGTTAGGATGTGCATGCACTATCCTCAATGCTTCAATAATTAGTTAATACTACAACTCCATGATGTAGATATCATTATCAAACTCATTTTACAGGTTAGGAAGTTAAGCTACTATGAGGATAATGAATTTGCCCAAGAACAAACAGCAAGTAAGAAGATATTCACTCACTGCTAGATAAATAAGTGAACAAAAATAACCATGTCTTGCAGGTTAACCTCTGGCAGGTGGGTTAAACATTCATTGATTGATTCTTGTTCCCATCACCACCTAGAAGGACGTCATCAACACCCCAAAGCAACCAGAGGCAAAATGTACACAAATGAGCAGGCCTGAGTTTCAATAACCTTTTACTTAGAGACACTGAAATTTAAATTTCATATAATTTGCATATGGCACAAAATATTCTTTTACTTTTGCAAAAAAACATTCCTAGTTCATAGAATGTTCAAACATTGGCACACAGGCTGTAGCTGCCGAGACCCCACCCTAGAACACTACAATCCCAGTGGCCTGTCCACACCGTCGTGCTGCACTCTGGCCACCTCCTCTTTCTTAACATGACTTTTTCTATGTTTTTTTGTTTTTTTTTTTTCCGAGACCGAGTTTCGCTCTCGCCGCCCAGGCTGGAGTGCAATGGCGTGATCTCGACTCACTGCAACCTCCACCTCCCAGGTTTCAGTGATTCTCCTCCCTCAGCCTCCTGAATAGCTGGGACTACAGGCGTCCGCCACCATGCCCAGCTAATTCTTATATTTTTAGTAGAGACGGGGTTTCACCATATTGGTCAGGCTGGTCTCGAACTCCTGACCTCGTGATCTACCTGCGTCGGCTTCCCAAAATACTGGGATTACAGGCGTGAGCAACCACACCCACCCCATTAATTAATATAACATTCTTCTTGTTCTCCTCCTCCTCCGAAGACTGTTGCTTCTCAAACACCTTAGCTCCTCTTAAATGTGCACCTAACCCAGTATGGAGTGTCCAGCAGGCACTCAGTATTTGTGAAATGAATGAATCTATGTGGAATGAATCAAATCTATGTGTCCACAGTCTGGACTCCTCCCCTCAGGCCCAGATCACCTGTTCCGATACCCCCCATTTTAAAGATGAGTCCCTTAGGCTTGGGCCAAGGTCGAGCAGGGTGTCTGACCATCAGGCTCAGATGTAGGCCTTCCAACTATGAGTGCAGTGGTTGTCCCACTGCGTGCTTGAGACTGGAGCAAACAGTTCCACTGCCTGCCTGCTCCACCTCCTTCCCCGCCCTGCCCATCCCCGCAGGCCAGAGAGTGGCCGCAAGAGGCTTACGTACATGGTAAGGTTTCTCTCCCGTGTGGATTCGCAGGTGGCTCTTCAGAGTCTGAAGGTGCCGGAAACGGGTGCCACAGATTTCACAGGGATAGGGCTTCTCGCCAGTGTGGATGAGCACGTGGGCACGGAGGTGGGCCACCTGAATGAAGAAGAAAGCATGAGAGGTCTTCTGGGGTGGAGTGCAAGCCTCTGGGCACCCCCTCATCAGCACACATGGACTGAGCGGCCTTTCCCAGGCCACTCTGCTCACCTGTACAAATCTGGCTCCACAGGTTTCGCATTTGTAGGGCTTCTCTCCAGAGTGAATTCGAGTGTGGGTTTTCAGGTTGGCTGGCCGGTTGAACTGGGCCCCACAGATGTTGCAACGATAGGGTTTCTCACCTATTACCAAGAAAAAGGGAAAAAGGAAAGCCATATTCAATAAGGAACGTCTCCGCAGTCCCTGGCTCCTGGATTTCTAAGCAGACTGCTCCTCCCTGAGGTCACTCGTGTTTTCCTTTCCCTTAGGAAATGTCAGAGAGAGAATCCAGGGGCCTGCCCCCACGCCTGCCAGCCCTGTTTCACACACACCTGCATATCTTGCAGGGGACCAGGGCCAAGAAACAAGTGGTGGCATGGAGTAGCGACAATGTCAGGTGCGGGACAAGGGAGGGGAAGGTTCCAGGAAGCCTGGGCTTTAGGACCAGCCTTGTCATTAGGGTTATCTGCCTGTGGGACCTGGACAAGTCACTCTCCTTCTCTGGGCCTCAGTTTCCCTCTCTGGAACCTGGGGGGCTACTTTAGATTACCTGGGAAGGCTCTTCTAGCTCTTTACTTGGATAAGACAGATTCACTCATCAACTCATTCACCAGGGAGACACAATCAGGCTGCTCCCGTTCCTCTTTTAGAACAAACATATTTTTCCACTTGTGGCAACTACAGCTGGATTCCATTGGCAAGAGGGGTGGGGCTTGGGTCTGAGTAGATGCTCAGGCAGAGGAAATCAATAGAATGGCTGGACTTTGCTTCATGGAAAGTGTCTGGATAATGGGGCCATATACAGTATTAAGAGAGTAGATTTTAAACAACAGTCAGGCCAGGAGAAGCTATCTGGTAATGGAAGGTGAGCTAATAAGGAACAAGTCATTTGAAAAAATCAAGAGGCCTTCAGTTTTTTTCTGGCTTTACAAAAATCGAATCTGTTTGCCTCTCCCAGACTCAGTCTCCTCACCTGTGCAGTGAGATTAACACTTCTGACCTCAGCAAAGGCAGGAAAGCAGTATAGAGCATCTCAGAGGAAAGACAGAGGGTACAGGGAGTGAATGAGTCAAGCCGCTGAGCAAAAACAGGATGGGATCGGGCCCCTCGTTCAGGCCAGGATGGGGCCTGCTCCCTGCCTTGCCCCCTCGCCTTTCTCTAGGATCCTCTCCCTGTGGAGAGGTTGGGTTGTGCGCGGCAGGGCCATACCGGTGTGGACGGTCTTGTGGCTGGCGAGGTTGCCCTTGTAGCGGAAGGAGGCCTGGCAGCGGTCACACTTGTAGGGTTTGTCACTGTGGGTCTGCAGCGTGTGCCTCTTGAGTGAGGCCTCCTCAGAGAAGCGGCAGTCACACTCATTGCAGAAGAAGGCCCCGTTCTCTGTTGGAGGGTGGGAGGGGGACACCAAAGTCAGCACGAGGAAGGGCGGTAGGGCTCTCAGACCTCTGTCCTCTATAGCTATGCCCTGTGCCAAACTGAGCCCCCAGCCCCTCACTCACCCGCCCGACATTCATGGGAGCTTGGAGCAAAGGATCTGTGGGGACTTTATTGTTCTTAGCATTTGGTCTTAGCCAGAGAAGGGAGAAAGGAGATGGACTGAATTAAGCTACAGAAGGGAAGCTCAAACACATAGGTACTCAGAGGCCCTGCACCAGTTTGAGGAAGGCACAACAGAGATATTCTTTCCCCAAGAGTTCTGAGGATCGACTATTAAAGATAAGTTTTCAGTTTTATTTATACTTATATACAGAAGCCCTCAGGCAAGACTCTACCTCTGAGCCTCTCTGTATCTTTGTCTTCAAAGTCAGATAATAAATCCCTGTCCTGCCTACCTGACGGGAGCATATTACATTACACAAAATAGAACACAGAGCATTCTAGGAACATAAGATATAGGTCAAATTCCATTCTACTGAAGGAGGAATTAATGATAAACACTCCATGGCCAGCCTTACACCTATCTGGATCTCATGTCTCCCAAATCCTCCTGTGAGATTGGGAGTGCAAAGCTGATGGTGGAAGTGGAAACAGAGGCCCAGAGAAAAGGAACTGGAGTGCACAGCAAAGGCAAAACAGCCATGGGGCAGGAGGGGACAGTCCCCACCCTCCCACCTAGGGGTCCATGACCCTGTGCCAAATCTCTTGGTATAAGCAGCTAATTATTTTTTTCATTTGTTGTAGTGACTTGAAAATGACAAGTCATGGTGATTTAACTCTGATTAGGTACTACTGGGCTCTATTCGTGTAGCCAGAGCTGGGTGAATAACTAGAATTTTTTTTGTCTAGTGAAAACTGGGGATGCCAATCACCGACTATCCAGAAATGCCAATTTAGTAATTCGCTTCAACTCTTTTAACTCAGCTAACATTACTGAGTTCCTACTCCATGCTAGGGACGTACTACTACCTATGGGGGATACAAGAATGAGTCAGATGCTTCTCCTTATAGAATACACAGCCTGGCGGGGAAAATAACACGTACACAGGTCAGTCCCAGTAGTTTTGGTATTGAGGAATGGAGAAAGCTCTGGACATTACAGCCAGCCCCACAAATTACTTTTGCTGGAATAAACCTGAAAGACTGTGTGGTAAGTCTTGATGACCCCAGGTCAACTCTAATACTCCATTCCTTGCTCTGGTTAGCCGACCTCCCTAAGAAGCGAAGCATGGGATGGACGGCTGGTGACTTTGAGTGCCAATGGACTTCCAGTTGGGGACTGCTCCAATCAGAGATAACAGTCTAAGTAAAGTGGAGCACAACACCCATGGAGCAGAGGGGTCTTCCTTCTCCCTGACGAGGGGTAGAAGGGAAAGGGACGCACCACAGCTGGAATCCGAGTACTCAGACTGGGTCTCTCCCATCTCCTCGGGGAACGTGGGTCCGGCCGTGTGCAGGCACATCTCCGCATGCTGTGGGGACTGAGAGCCACAGGATGCGCACTTCGGTGGGTGCATGTAGAGTGGTGAGTGGCTCTCACTGCTGCTGCGAGGAGAGCCCGTCAGGGACCTGTGGGGCAGGAGTGAAGACAGTCTCAGCACCTGGGGCAGGGCCCCAAGACCACCCTCTCCTCCCTGTGTTTATGCAAGCCCAGAGGCAGCAGCTGGGCTGACCACTCAGGCTCTGAGACCCCAGAGTTGTCCTTGAGTTTATCTGCAAACAACCTTTGCAGAAAGGGTCAAACTGGCCAGGGTCAAACTGAGCCAGAGCTTCCCCGCAGCCCACAGCCTCTCTTAGTCAAAGGTAGCAGGATGGTCCCCGCCACATCAAGACCACAGGAAGTGCCTGTGGCATTTACAGAATGCTATTCTGCCCCAGAAGGGAGTTATCTCTCTTGCTATGAAAAAATATACACTACTTAAGTGTCATTTACTTCCTTACTTAGACTAACTCTGTCAATAGACACTGATTCCACACCTTTAATAGGCTCAGCAATTCAGGCAAGAAAAGAACAAACCCCTGCATCCATCAGAAGAAATGATGCAGAACCCTGCCCAGGTAACCCCTGATCTCATACCGACTGTCTCTGAAATCACCTGTTAACGATGTTATTGAGCCGGCTGGCTTGTGGGATGGTGGAGTCCTCCCCACTGGCACTGAGTTTGGTTGGGGACTGGAGGTCAAGGTTCTCAGGCTCCATGGGTGGCTGGCAGGTAGGCGGGGCGGTGTAGGCTCGTGGGGAAAGGCGGCCCAGCTCAGCCTGCTCTGGCCCCTCTGGTTTGGCATTCTGGTTGAGGCTGTTGAGCACGATGAACTTGTATTTCTTCCAGTTGCAGGCTTTGGGGTCAGTGGGGCTCTTGGCTGGAGGGGAGCCAGAGGCCTGGAGGATGCAGGCATTCTTACTGCTGCAGGACTCTGTAGGCGAGTTGGGCTGGCAGTCAGATTTCTGGGGGCTCTGTGGACTCACCAGACCCTTCCGGTTCAGGGGCGCATTGGGGGACTCGAAATGCAAGGCAATCTCATCTTCTGAGGAGGGTCTCTCTTCTTCTTTGCTGGCCTTGTCACAGGGGAAGTAGGGGGCGTTTCGGGCTGAGGGGGCAGCAGGCTTGGGCCCCTCGGCCACACCGTAGTGCATATCACTTCGTGCCTCTTCTGGGACTGTTTCCTTGGGCGAATAGATATTGCCGTGGCACACGCCAGGGGACACCTCCAAGGCCGGCCGGCTGTACTCACCGGGGACTGGCCTGGCACTGTCGCACGGGAGGGCCCGCTCCTTGGGGAAGGGGTTGGCCACAGGCATGCGGACATCTCGAAGCTCCTCATCGGAGAAGAGGAAGCTGCTGACGGGGAGATGGCTGTACATGGAGTAAGAGGCTGGCTGTGTGGACAGGCCACTGTACAGGCTGGGGGCAAAGGCTCTGCTCTCACACCCAGGGGCACTCCTCAGCGGCAGGCTGTTCTCCACCACCTCACGGCCCCGATAGGCCATAATGTCTTGGGGCATTAGCATCCGGCTGTTGAGGAACTCTTCACGGGGAGGCTTGATGGCAGGAACCATCTCTGTTTCACTGTGGGAGGAAAAAGGAGGAAAGACACCGGTCCCAAATCAGAACTGTTAAATAGATGACCTTCCAGGGACACTTATATAACCACATCTGTGCTTGAATTAGCTAGACATAGGTGACGTGGTTCTGGAGCAGGGAAACAGAATTACAACGCGTTTATGCTAGAAGCCTGAAAATCCAGGCTACGATTGGGAAAACTGAGGCCCAGAACAGGGCAGTGAGTTCCCAGCTCCTCATCGGAGAAGAGGAAGCTGCTGACAGGGAGGTGGCTGTGCATGGAGTAAGAGGCTGGTGGTGTGGACAGGCCACTGAACAGGCTGGGGGCAAAGGCTCTGCTCTCACACCCAGGGGCACTCCTCAGTGGCAGGCTGCCTGATTAGACATGATCTTCTATGTTTAAAGCACATATCTATGCATGTGTGTGAATCTATAGCTCTTCCGATGTTATAAAATTTTATAGCTCACATAAAACTTTCAAAGCCCTTGTCTCATTTCTCCCTTGCAAAATCCTGAACGGAAGGAAAGGCAATGATTATTGCCTCCATTTTACACACAGGGAAACAGGAAAAGAAGAATTTGTACCATGTTGGTATGGCCCTTTTGGAGGCTCCTACACAAACGGGTAACCTCCTGAAGAAAGAATTTGCCCCACATGCTGATGAAAGTTTCTGACAGAACGGGCAGCAAGGTCTGCAAACCTGGCTGTGTCACTTAGCAGCCAGGTGACCTGGAGCAAGTTACTTAGCCATTCTAAGCCCAAGGCCTGACCCACTGAAAGTACTTGTAAATGACAGCAATGATGATCTTGCCACCTTTGTCACCCACAGGAGACAAAGAACTCTAGCTGTATATACCTGAAGGGACATTACGTGGGCAAAATAAACAGGCCAGCTCACCACGATCACAGTTATTGGAGCTAGTACCAATCAGAAGTCTAAAGAGAAGCCAAAAGGAGAAGCTTTCTAACTGTGCACGGTATGTTGTGTGGTTCTGAGAACACTGAGGTCCTGGCTCCTGGAGGTTTTCAAACACAGCCTGGAAATCCCTTCTGTTTGGGCGAGGATGCAATCACCCTAGCGTGGCTGTATCAAATGGTTCTGAAGAAGTTAAGCTCTGAATCTCTGTTCCACTTAGCGAACCTCTTCACTGCTTTGGATCTCAAGTTCCTCACCTTTCAATGAAGGTCATGTCTTACCAACCCTTGGGTAAGAGGTTAAACTCAGTGAACTCCACTCAATTCAGTAATGTCCTGCCTAGTAGGAGCAGCGTGACATAAAAGATAAGTAAGATAGCCCCATAACCTTGAGCAGCCCACAGTCTAGTAGGGAACTAAGGCACATATGTAAATAGTTATAACAGAAGAAGGAGAACTAAAATACATATGCAAATTTAACATAGAAGGAAACTTTAAAGCACAGGCCAAATGCTTCGCAACACAGAGGAAGAGCTGAGGGAGGAAAAGTGGTAATCAGAAAGACTTCCATGGAAGGGCTGAAATCCAAGATTGGCCCTGCAAGATGGGTTGGAAGAAAGGGTATATTAAGTGAATGGAAGAAAGCAAGATGCGGTAAAGCACAGGACACCTCTGCATAGCCACAGGAGTTAAGTGTGCCTGGGACACAAGAGTTAAGAAGAGCAGAAGTGTGCAACGAGTGGAGATGGGGTTGCAGCACATCATAGAGGACTATTTTTTCTGTGTGCATGAATTATCAAAGATTTCTGATCAAGGACTGTCTCTGCCATCTCCGAGGCTTCTACCCAGGTACCAACTCACCTGGCCTTGATGAACTTCCGGCAAGTATCCACAACATGCTCCATCTGCAGGTACATAGCTGTGGCCATCACGGCCATGATGTTGCCCTCCCGCAAATTGAGTCGAGACGTGTACATAAAGTCCAGGAGGATGCAGAACCCCTCAGGGTTGATCTCAGGATCTAAATTGATCACACTAAGGTTGCATTTCAACTGGTCTGTGAAGATGCTATAGAACAGGCCACTGTAAAACAAACAGATGTCCCACTACAGTAGACATATGGAATCTGTGATCCACTACAGTCAGCATTGACACTCAGCCCTTCTCCCCTGGGCCCACCTCCAGAACTTCCACGGTAATCAATACTAGCTGCTGTTTATGGAGAGCTCACCAAATCAGAGAGTCATTAAGCACCTTACGCACATTATCCTTTGCTCCTTACAACCCTGCAAGATAGGTACTATCATTCTCTGCCTTTACAACTGGAGGAACTAAGATCAGAGGGGGTAAGTGAATATTCTAAAAGTCACAGGGCCTGTTTTCCTTTTAGTCTTAACGATACGGATTACCGGAGTTAAATTTAGCACTCATTTGCAGTAACTATTCTTAGTCTATCCTTGGCATAAGCATTCCCTCTTGTTCTATTGCACTTATACTTACTTTTTTAATTCTATTTTTTTTTTTTTTTTAGAATTTAGGTATGAATGACAAAGAAATAAAAATATGCCTTTATCTCCCTCCTGCTTTTATCAAAGTCCTTAGATTAACAGAGGGTCAGTTATTCCTAGAAGACCCAAGTCAAACCCCAAGCAATGCCTCCAGGTGCCATGCTGTCTGGTGGTGGAAAGAGTACTCAGTTGTAAACGAGAATCCTGGGCTACCATCTTGATTCTCAATTCTACTATTTCTGAGTGAGTTGCCAGAAGTCAGCCAGACTTCCACCGAGTAGCTGTGCAACTTTGGAGAAGACACTTAGCTTCTCGGCATCTTGCTTTACTCTTCTTCAAAGTAGGAGGAACAATCGTGTCTACCTTATAGTGTTGTGCACGAATGAAAATGTAAAGGATATAGAATGGTGCCTGTCATATAGCAAGCATTCACTAACCATCGTCTATTACTTTTATATCTCTATAAACCTCTGTTATTTCCACTGTTAAAAAACAGGTGCTTACAGCAAATGTTGGATACATTATCATACAGCAACAGGGATCCCTGATTCTACGTCATTTCCCCTCCCTGTACTTTCTTTTTACCATCTATAAAATGAAGGCCATAGTGTAGCACGACACTGAAGGCTGCTGGGAAGATCCGGGGAGATGACATCATATAATATAAAATTGCTTTGAAAACTCAAAATACCTGATAAACATGAAGAATCAGCTAGTTCACTCTTATTAACTCTTACATATACTCTGAACACCCATGGAAATTCAGTTGTGGCATAAAATAAATACATTTATAGCATAAAAGAACAAAATATTTCAAATTAACTTGCTTAAGCTACTTAAAGACAAAAGTTCATTTGAAATCTTCTGTCATTTTTTCACTTGGTTAACTGAAGTTACTCTCCATGTCTGCCCCAAACACATCCTTTCTTGGGGCAGTATACAACTTTCCTCCCACTATTGCTACAGAATATGACTCCTTCTTTTCTAAAAGTTGCATTCATTCATTCACTCCTTGGGAGCCTACCCTGCCAGGCCATGGTGCTGAGACCCAGAGACACAGCGAGACATTGTCCCAGATGCAGTAAAAGGCGTACACGTTTCACATTGCTTGGCGGCCAGCACCATCACCCTACTTTGACTCACCCACCCTTTCCTTTCAGACCCCTCACCTGCAGGCCATGAGGACTGTTTTATGGGCTCTAAACTGCTCACGGCTCACAACAATGACAACATCAGTCAAGATGTCTCGACTCCGGAGACGATTAAGGTTGAGAAGAACGTCACTGGCATGGCGGGTGAACTGGATACAGCTGTCAGCCGGCGAGGCCATTTTGTCTTCACTTGAAAAAAGAGGCCAAAATCCTGTTAATCCTCCAGAACCTGTTTCCTGCTTGCCACGGGTATCAGAGTAGGTGGCTCAGCCTCCTGAGGTACAGAGTGCAACTCGGGTCCCTTGTGTTTGATCTTTGAACAGTTCATACCCCAAGTGTGGCCATTATTCTTCGCAGTTGTAAAATGGGGAGAATAACTTTTATCCAATAAGTTGAGATAGAAAGCTCTTTAGGGGAAAGGCAAAGGGAATGAATGTTTGCTGAGCATTTCTCCCACATACCAAAGATTCTGGCAAGCACTGAGAGGCAGTGAGTATGCTGAAATGGAGAGATGGAGACATGGTGTTTTAAGATTATCAGGCTAGACTTGTCTTCTGCTAGCTGTGGGACTTTAAGCAGATCGTTGACTCATTTTTGGCTTTGGTTTCCCCAGATGGAAGTAGTAATGCCTATGTGGTTATAAAAATTAGAAATACATTCCTCGTCCAGAGTAGTTCCCAAAACTCACAGCTATTCTTGTACGTGTCTCATTTCATTATCTCAGTCACCATTGGTCTATCCACCATTAGGCTTTAGAGGTGCCTGACTTTGTACCTTGAGGAGCTTGCATACTGCTGGTGAATAGCAGCTGGCTTAATCAATTTGTACAAAGAAATAGTAAGAGAATGATTGACCATACAAATGTTAAGACGTCTAACATAGAGGTGAAGGAGTGAGGACTACAAGTGATGTAGAGGGAGCTGGTCATCCTTATCTCGTATAATGAACGGTGGCAAAGTTCACAGAACACATGCATTGGCAAAAAGAAACAGCTTGTCCCAACATTTTAAAGCATATAATTTGATTTACTTACCCAATGCCTTGCTTCAAAGTCCAAAATTTTGCTTAAAACCTGCAGAGAAGAAAGCAAACAGGAATTGATTTAACGAATGTAAGATTGTCCACTATAGTCTTATTTTAGGACATACACATTTAGTTTTGCTTTGATAGTTGCAGCTTGCCAGCTGGTGTGGTTTTACCGCAAGCTAACAAACGTTTTCCAGCTCTGCTCTTACGGAAACAACACGCACCCGAAGCTATGAGATAATATTGTTTTTATCCTGAGTACTAGGAGTATAATTGCATACATTAATTACTTATACATACATCCATACATACATGTATTTCCTGCTTCAAAGAAAAAAAAAATTATACCATCCAAAGGCCACTTGAGTTTAAGGGAAAGAAAAATAAGAAAAGTAGTTCTGTCAACATTAATGATAATGATCCATCCATGGCCTGAATATGCTGGACGCCATTCAAAGCCTGCTAAAATTTTATCTTTGAAGTCTTAGGATGATTTCACCAGGATGATAGGGCGAATATCTTTATCCTTATTTCACTGGCGATGAAACTGAGACTTAGGGGTTCATGTGGCTTGCTCAAACAAACAGCTAGGCGGTATTCCCTGCCTCTCTGAAACATTAAGAGTGGATATAGGCTCTGGAGAATACAACCTGAGATGTCTTGTCTATGTATTCCTTGAAAACCTTTGTCTTCTTTTTCAAAGTTTTCTCTCCCTGCCCTACTGGGTCTAAGACCAGACAGAATGCTATTGCCTCCAAGTCTGTGCTTCTGCCTGCTGGTAAAAGACTTAACTATGTGACTTAGCTGAGAACTGGCCAGGCAGCACTAAACCTTAAAGAGATTTAATGAAATGTGTACCTCTTCCAAACTGGCTTCTCTAAAACAAAATGAGGTGTAAGACTCTCATTTATGATCAAATGTGGGCTGAAAAGCAAGGCAGTATTTGAACTGTCTTTCCCCCTTCAAAAAAAAAAAAAAAAAAAGTAGAACCTTTTAGAGCTATTTTCCGGGTAAAGAGGCCCGAGGCCAGCAAGGTCATGTTGGGCCATGTAGATGGTTAGTGGCCCGGCCCTAGGTCTTCTGGCTCAAATTCCTGTCCCCTTTCCAAATCAGCCTACGTGCTGTAGAACATGCAAGACAGCACCCTGATGTGGGTGAATCTCATTTTTAAGTTCCTTCCCCCACACAAACACTTTGCCCCATTCCAGGCTGCTGAGTCTTACCAAATGAGCACTCTAAAATGAGAGGTTTCCTTGAGTCTGTAACCAAACACTCTGACATTTCTCTGTGGTCCCAAGTGCCAGTCACTCAATCCCATCGGCTCCAAGGTTAGTGTGTGCATGTGAGCAAGTGGGGGACTGCAGGGAAGGAAGTGGGGAAAGGAGAGGACAGAAAAAGACGAAAGAACCTATCTCCTCCTCTCCCCATCCCAACTCAAGATAGGCAAAGAGAGATATACTAACTCGGTCTTAACCAAACTTCAAGGATTTTCTCCTTTGCAAAATAAAACTGAAGACACATGGGAGGTTTACTTATAAACTTGCCTCTCTTCCCTCATGGAAGGGATCCTCAAACACTTCTGGAATACCTAGGCTGTTCTTTAACCAGCTTCAACCACCAGCTCTCTTGTGGATTTCCAGGCGCAGGCTTCTGGAACCACAGGAAGCCCAGATTTGCCATTTCACCATGACAAGTGGCAGTGACTCACTCCAGATGCAGAATGAAACAAACAAACAAGTTCCCCTGTGTCTACTGTCAGCTGGGACTTGGGCTTTTCACCTTAAGCCTCTGCCTGACCAAAAGCAAATATACACACACAAGGCGCAGGTCCTTATCAAGCTCACTCCTTTGTAAGCCAGCTCTTCTTAAGAGGCCCTCCCCCCAACTCCTGAGCCTGTGGGTTGAGTGTGGGCAATGCTGTCACCGCCCCCACCCTAGACGCCACAGGTGTGGACGCACCACCAGCATTTAGTTTGCTTTTGTACACAGCTCTTAGTCCTTTCCCAGCCCTCCTGATTGCGTCTTATCCTTCTAACAGCCCCGATTTATCAGGAAGGGAACTGAAGCTCCAGGTGAGAAGCCTTGCCCAAGATCTCAAAGCCAATTTCCAGCAAGTCCTGGACAGGTCGCATCTCCTAGATTCAGCCATGCCACCAATGCCACACACAAGACTAACCGCAAAAACAATCTCCGAGGAAAAGCAGGGCTGTCAATGAGAAACTGACAGCTGCTGCCCCCAGACCCGGACTTCCCATCCCAATGTCCGGGCACTCCCCCCCCCACCTCTTCCCCCGGCTCTGTAACCACCATGGGAGAGCTCGGTGTTTTCTCCTCCCTTCCTCCCTTTAGCTCCTTTGGAGCTTTCCTTGTGCATATCCAACTAGGCTCCTTGAGAAGGCAGATCCTTTAAAAAAGCTGTCCACTGAAGAAGAAAACAGGAACCAAAAATAAAAAAGCAAAGAGAGAGAAGACAGCAGCAGAAGCCAGAGAGAGAGAGAGAGAGAGAGAAAGAGAGGAAATGAGAGAAGAGCCAGAGGCGAGGTTAAGAGGCAGAGAGCTAGCCAATACAAAAGACCCCATCCTTTTCCTCCCTCCTCCCCTGGGCTGGCACCAGGCAGCCCCATTTTCTGCTTCACACACAAGAGCACAAACAGAAGCCCTGCGGGCCGGGGCAAGCCTGGGCAGACCTCACTACCCCACCCCGACGACACCGTACCTGTCTTCCAGAGACTGCCCGCCCCTGGGCGATCCACCTCCAAGCCCCCCGCAAGGCGAGACGGAGGCTTTGTGGAATGACAGTGGCGGCCCTTAATTTAGTTACATTCAAATAAAACTTTTCGTACACCTCGGTGGCTAACATTGTGTGTATGCCTTTTTTTTTTTTTTTTTTTTTTTTTTTCCTGTTACGCCGTCAAGGCATCAGGCAATGAGGGGAATGGCACAGCCCTCTCATTCCCGGAACGTAGTCAATCTCGGCTCTGCGGATTTCACAGAACATGCTCTGCCTATCGCCGGCTCCAACGAGAAGTAACTTTCCAGGAAGCTGCCGGGCTCGGCAGCCGCCAGGATCTCTGCCTGCGCTGCGCCGGCCGCCGGGGATTCACCCGGGGAGGCGGGGCCGCCGGGGAAGGCTCGCGGGGAATACAGCACACTTTCCCCTAAATCCCTCATCTGCGCCGAGTCCAGGGCTCTCAGAGTTCACCTAGTCCAACCTCTCACACACAACAATTTGTTAACGGGGAAGGTCAGTTAGCAGCAGAGCTGGGACTAGAACCCAGGAGTTGGAATCCAATCCGAGGCTGATATCGTGACTTTAAGTTGCCGGATTCCGAAGTTTATTTGCCTTTTTTCCTCTTTTTGCCTTCCATTCTCCCTCGTCCCCCTTCTTTTAGGGGGATGTTTGGGCTAGACTTCAAGGTCAAAAAGATGGAATCCCTAGGACTGAGAGTCTCCATCAAAGGCGCCCCAGCCAAGGTTGGAGAAAAACTAAACCGAAAGCCCCTTCCGCCGACGTTGGCAAGAACGGGAACCCAGCTCCACTTGGTTTCCGCCCAAAGTCTATAGAATAGGAGCTGCCAGGCCGTAAGGATTTCCGATTCCGATTTTCCCGAAACCGTGGAGACCCGGCTTGGACGGGGCAGAGACCCGGCCCCGACCCCCGCGCGCGCACGGGCGCTCTCCACGCTTACTTCATCTTCCTGCGGCCCTCCCGGGAATTATAACCCCGGGGTGCCCTGCCCTATTTGGTCTCGGTAGCAAGCTCCGGGGTGCGCTTTTGGGGGTCAGGGGACGGCGAAAGACTCAGCAAGCAAGGCTGCAGTCAGGTCCTAAAACTAGCCAGTGGCGCCACTCTGTGCCGCTCAGCCCTTCTGCGGCAGCGGAAAGGTCAGAGTCAGTCCTCAAAGGCTGAGACTCTTTGGTCTCAAAATTCTACATTGAGGCCTTCTTACCCCTCCGCCCGGGGGGATAAAGGTGAAAGAGAAGGTTGGGTTTTAATACGGGGTAGGGATGAGAATCTAGGAAGTTAAACTTGAGTAAGTGCATTTATTGGCAATTTGGAGTCCCGTGATTCCGGGAGCTCAAACCTAAGGGTGTTTTTACCGCTGCCTAACACTAGAGAGAGCCCTCCATCAAGGTTTGAAACGGTCCAACCCTTTCTCGCCCCTCCCCTCCTTCCCATTGACCTAGTTTGGCCAGAGCCTCCTGATTTGGAGAATGCCTTCCGCCCTTCCCCCCACCTCTCCAGCCTGGCCGGCTGTTGGATTATTGGTAATCTAATAACTCCAATAACTCGCTGAAAAATCCAAAGGGGAATTTGAAAGTGTAAAGCACTGTTTAGGGACAAGGACAAGGAATTTTAATAAGGCTGGAGCTGCCGGAGTGGACCCCGCATCAGGGGCCCTGCGGTGGGGCTCCCGGTCTCCGCAGAGTCTCTGCACGGCCGTAGACACCACCGGGGTCCGGCGGCAGGGGGTGAGGTCGGACCGCTGAGTTGTTTTTATTCTTAGGGAAAAACACTCTTCGCCCTCTTGTCTGGGGGACGGGAGGGTGCGGGAGGCGACAGTGGATAAAAGCAAATTTGATAACACGATGGCCTCGGCAGCCGCTTTAGGTAACCGAGGTGTCCGAGGACATGATGTCCTGAGTTTCATTTCTATCACGTTTCCTGCCAACAGCGCTCTTACAAGCCTGCAAGCTTCTAGGAAATGCAATAAAACAGAAGGATGTGTTTTATCATCAAGATCTGAAGAGGAGTTGCAGAAGGGACGCTCCCCAAACGCTCAGCTCAAGACAGCCTTCCAGAAGGGCTCCAAGACAATGCCAGCAAATCACGTCCCGGGGCAGAGATCCCTCGGCCATCCTGGCTGGATTGGGCTCAGCCTTTGGAAA